TATATATATATATATAGACGTCCCAAAAAGTGTGCAAACAAGCGCCAATTATTTTAATGTAGTGCAAAAATGATGGTGATATTTTAATGAGAAAAGATGATCTATACGGAAAGGTTCCATAGAATAACCCACCCGTTCCCCAGACCTGACACCAATAGATATACTTTTCCAGCGGAGTCGGTCGTGGTAGCCGGAATGGTTAAAACCGTAAAAAAAAATCGACGACACCAGAATATTTAAAAGCTACAGTTGCGTTAGTTTGTGAATCGGTAGAATAATAAATCAATATCCCGTTGTTAACAGCAGTGTAGTGGTGAAAGGTTGTATATTTTCTTTATGTAGATCCTTTTGAAATGAGTATTAATTATATGATGACAAACACTGGTGTTGCAATTACGCACTTTAATAACACGTAAATATGCACTACGTATGGGGCACTTTTGTGTGCGTATATATATATATATATATATATATGTAATTTCAATGTAATTACAGATGTGCCTGAAATTAACAAATGGCCGATGGTTCCCGTTGGCAGTCATACTGAGTCGACTCGATTGGATTCAATAGCATTGTACGAATCCTACACGGGCGTAACGGACAACGTGACGAAAATTGGCGAAACCCAGATTCGAGTTGGAGGATACACCTATTGTAAACGCATGGCGTATAAAGGTACACTGTGCGAAATGTGCCAATCAGCCTATTGCATAAGCCAGGCACGTTTGTCCTGGCAGGTCGTCTGTTAAAGAATAGGTCGTTTCGATGCTTGCTTACGCAATGTTTATGTACACCAACGCCGTTTACGGTACTCAATGCAAATTCAGCTGTGTTCGATCATATTAGACATTAGTGTTTTACATATTTTTGTATTTGGGTCGTTTATGAATGATGTTTTAGTATGCAGGCACTAATATTTAGCGCTATCGTTGTTACCTGCGTTATTACAGACAAAATCTATTACCGTTGCAAAGAGCACCAACGGTTTCGGTGTTCAGCGACGATTCATCTGGTTGATGATGTGGTGAACCTTGTCAATCCTCAGCATAGTCACCCACCACCGAAATCTGTCAAATACAATCGAGTTAGTCAGGCGCCAAGTTGTTCAAACTTTGTTGGCTCAACTTACGGTTATTTCTAAGTGGAGAAGTTCATATGACTGATAGTTCACCTCAACGGCTTCGGCGAAATTGTACTCGAAGCGAAAGTTGAAACGAAGTTCCGTCGAACAGAGGCAAACACGAGACAAGCCATTAGTAACAGAATCAATGATTCAGGTCAAATCGGTCAGAAGCAGGTTGAAAAAAAGAAACGCAACAACGGACATGTCTGCGTCGTAACATGTGCGAATGTCTCTTTAAGTGAACCTTTTCGATGGAGAACTTGAAGAAAAATGTTAATTATGGTCTAAACTCTCGTGGAGAGGCACTGTGATCTTTTTCTGGAACGAAAACGTGTAATAGCTAGATGTTAGGACAATGACAATTTAGGCTTTCTTTCCAAAGTATGAAGGGTATCCATTTGTCACACAATATAGCGTAAAAAGCATTCCTTTAATGGACCTTCAGAAAACAATTTATCCACATAGATAGATATTAAAATGGGAGTCCGCTAAAGAAAACAATGACGACTGTCCAACAAGCCAAACCGTAGTTGGTCATTGCCACTTTGTAATGTTCTTCCACGAAATATTATCCTAGTTCGTCATATCACACAAATGTACATAAATAAGATATTTATTTTCTTTGTGTACTAAATTGTTAATAATTGAAATATCATAAATTGCTTAAGGAGTTCACATTATCATTTTTCGGCCTGAGCGGCCGGAAAAGTCGCGCATCCGATCTGTGTTCTGTTCTGTATGCGTAAAGTTTGTTGTCAGCCAAGTAGCTTTCGACAGTGAGCTCCAGCGAAATTGAAAGGAAAGATAGTACATTTAAATGGATAAACACCTTGTCGGGCTGTTTGTCGTGATTAGAATGCGTTCATTCGCTATCCCCAATACTAAACAAAAGCCAACTTCTTCTAGGACTAAATAATAAATCTCATCATGGCAAAATATCGTAATTCGAGTGAAAGTCAGTTATTATCGCGCTGAGCTAAGCGTTAACAAGATTAACGAGGAAACTACTTTTTAACCCTACGTTATTGCTAGTTCGAAAAAGATCCCGAAAGGACAAACTGAAAAATCCTCAATAGATTTGAAGGCTTTGAAAAATAATAAAAAAAAACAATCTTCAGTGGCAAA